ATAGTTTAAACAGCAATAAGTGCTAAGGAGAAAAATAAAGCAGGTAAGGCAAAAGAGGTCTGAGTGGGTGGTTTGTACTTATAATAAGATGGCCAGAAAGGTGCTTTGAAGAAATTCATGTTTAAGTAAAGATTAAAAGAGACAAGAGAATGAGCCCCGTGGATATCTGTGGAAAGAGCATGCAAGGCAGGAAACAAACAAACAAACAAACAAAAAAACCCAGTAAATTTAAAAGTCCTGAGCTTTGAACATGACTGGAGGTTTGAGGAACAGCAAAGGAAACACATAGCTAGAGTTGAGAGAACAAGGGAGAGAGGTGTAGGAGATGAAATCAGAAATATAAGAGGGAGCAAGATCACATAGGGCTTTGTATGTCATTTCAAAACGTTTGTCTCTTAATCTGAGTAATAAAGGAAACTACTGAAGGATTTTGGTCAGGGGAGTATCATAGTCTGAGTTTTATCTTCGATAGTATAATTATGGCTTTTGTGTTGACAATTGATTGAAGAGAAGAAAAGGCTGAAGTAGACCAGTTAGGAGACTTTTGTAATGATGCAGCAAATATACGACGAAGGACTACAGTGGGAAGATGTCAGATTCTGGATATAGTTTGATATTAATGGATCATATGGGAATGCAAGAAAAATAAATGAATCAAAGTTGACTCTAATGTGTTTGAGTACTTAGAAGAATGTGGTTGCCATTACTTTCATTAACAGCTCCTGGAAGAGGAGGCTTTAGTGGGGAACAGAGAAGTCAGAAGCCAGTTGTATATTTTAAGTTTAAAATATTTATTAGTTATCCAAGTGAAAATATCAAGTAGAAAGTTCCATATATGGAATTTATGTCTAAGTTTTACATATGGTATATAGAAGTGAGATCTGTGCAGTAGGTATAATGGGGGTGAGGGGGGTTATTTACTTATAGATGGTAAATAAGGCCATGGGACTAGATGAGATTGACAAAGAAGTACATGGTGTCTTGGGCCAGCGTGGTAGCAGGGTGAGACGATATCAGATTCCAAATATATTTTGATATTAGCAGATGGATAAAAGAGAAAGCACCGGTTGATTTCTAGGATATTTCAACATTTACTGGTATGGGAGAAGAAGACAAAGCAGCAATGAAAAAGAAGGACCTGCCAGTGAGACAGGGTAAAGCAGGAAAGCACAGCAGCAGGAAGCCAAGTGAAGAAAGTGTTACAAGGAGGGGTGAAAGATCAAATGACATGATGGGGAAATTATGGAATATGAATCAATTACTGCATTTGGCAATGTGGAGGTGATGAATGATCTTGATAAGAACAGTTTCTGTGGAGTGACAAGCACAAGGGCAGGATTCGAGGTGGAATTGTGAGAGTACACAGGGAATAGGAGAAGGAAAACTGGAGCCAGAAAATAGAGACGTTTCTTTTAAGGAATGTTGCTGTAAAGAAGAGAGAAATGGCAATATCTGGAGAAAGAAATGGGGGTAAAGAGAGGGATTGTTTTTTTAAGATGAGAAAAATAAAGTCTATGTGATGATGGGAATGCTTTACATAAGGTGGTAAAAATTGATTATGTGGGGATTAAATGGTGAATGATATCCATCCAATATTCTTTCAAATGTATTTACTGTGTTATTGAGTGGAAATTTAAGAGAACAAGATATAGTGCCTTCTTTCATGGGTCCCACATGCCATTTTTTCCAGCACTATCCTCCAGCTTAAAAGGTTCTCAATTGAAGGCTCTACTTTCTGCATAAAATATAAGTCAAGGTCATCATATGAGAATGATTAAGGAAATGGTAAGATATGTAGCTCGAGGTGACATCTGAAATCATGTATAGTAGAAGAAAAATTGGGGACCATTATTTTTTCAATTTGTGAAGATACTAGTTTGCATGATCATGTGATTTTTTTTTTTTACAAGAAAACAGAAGTGTAAATGTGTGAGCTGAAAAACACACTGTAAAATTTCATAGGGCTGTCATTTTTCCAGGGAAGCAGTGGAAAGAAAAAGAAACAGGGAGGCAGTGATGATAAGAAACTGTTCATCTGTTAGAATGTGAGATCTAGGCTGAAAGTGTCAGTGAATTTAGGAGATGATTCAAGATTGGAAGAAAATACAAAGATGAAAATTCTGGCAGTATAAGTACAGTAGAAGTGATCAAGGATGTGAAGTTTTTGGAAAAAGGTAGTAGGATAATTGACATTTATAACTGAAAGAGAGAGAAGTTCAAGTCAATATCAGATCTAAAGTTCAAACACTGGTGTGGCATAGTTGGTGTGTAGGTGAAGATCACAGGAGCTATAGTTAAGGAACTGTGAAGTAAGGGTGGTAGATATTTTTTTCCAAAGGACATAGAAGTATCCTAGCACAATGGCAAGATTGCAGGTGGAGGAGAATATTGACACAGTACCTAAGTCAATGATGAATATTAAGGCAAGACTTTGTGGCTAGTATTTGACAACAGAATAGAAGGAGGCACAACATGATAGCACAAAATTCAGAGAAGGAGAATTGTGAATAAAGGAAGGTGAATAATTAATGTTTTGGAAGCTGCAAAGCTGAGAAAGTAGGTACGAACACTCTTTAATAACACCGTGGTTTGTTCTATGTGTGAAGTGGGCAGCATCCACTAGCAAGAGCTTTAGGGAAACAAAGTTGGGGAAAAGCCGGACTTCCAAGACATCACACTCCTACTTTTCCTCCTTGTCTGATCCTTTTCAGTCTCCTTTGCGGATCTTCTTCTGCCTTAGATGTTGGTGCATAGCCTCTGAAAAAGAAATCTTCTATTGCATCTAATTTGCTTAATCATTTTATAGAATCATCTTTCTCTGTTAGCTTATGATGAGCATGTTTTTATCAGATTATAAAATTTAAATAAAAATATTTACATGAATTTAGTTTCTGATATGATTACATTAAGGGAGATAAGATATATGAAAGTGATTCTGACTCTAATGTAAGATGTTAGAGTATATTTGAGGGAACATTGTGCATTTTCGGATGCATTTGTATATGATTTTGTAACTTAGATGTAGGGCTGGTTGGTGCTTACATTTACTTTTATGACATACCGCCCTTTGGCTCCTCTTTGTTAATTAAGCTACTGTTTAAAATATCCTCTAGGAAAAATGTGTGTGTGTGTGTGTGTGTGTGTGTTCAAAGGTACTTCCAAAAATTTGTGGAAAAATAGAATTGAAGGACAATAGGAATCTTTCCATGAACTTTTTGAAGTACCCTCATGTCACATATATCATGGGGGTGGGGCAGAGCACAAACATTCATTTCATAACAGAGAGTGAAATTAGTGTTTACTTACATTTACATACATCTATGTGAAATTAGCATTTAATGTGTAGAGAATTTATTATAATACATTACTCATAGCATATAAAAATAGTGTACAAGATGGAATTTATTTTCCCATTCTAAAAAATAACTGTTTGGTTCTGTTGGTAATAATTACCATAACAAATTACCAAGGCTGGGTGCCTTAATAAATAGAACTTTTATTTTCTCACAGTTCTGGAGGCTGGAAGTCCCAGATCAAGGTCGGGAAGGGTCTGTTCCTTCTAAGGGCTCCTCTCTTCATGGCTTGTAGATAGCCAGTCACTTTCTTACTATGTCCTCACATAACCTTTCCTTGATTTGTGCTGAGAGAGAGAGAGAGAGCACACACACACTGGAGAGCTCTCCGATGTCTCCTCTTATAAGAATACCAATCCTATCAGTTCAGGGCCCCACTTTTATGACCTCATTTAACCTTAATTACTTCCTTAAGGACACCATCTCCAACATAGCCACACTGGGGTTACGGCTTCAACATATGAATTTGGGGACTGGGGTGAGGGGGGACACAAATGGTTTCTATCAGTGAGTTGTCAGTTTTATTTTTGTCTTAAGGGTAGTCTCTTAAACATGTTTCATTCAGTAGCATGCCTTATCCATCAGTTCCAGTGCAGAGGTATTAATACATAATAGAATGGCTAGCCTAGACTTTTGTGTCTGTTACAAAAGCGATATAACCCACTGAGATATGTTTATTGAGATTTCACTCCATATAGAATAGCAGTACGGAAGTTGGAACATCTAAATCTTCCTCAGGGAGACAGGAGAGTGAACTCAAGAAGAAACAGTGATTCTTTAGCTGAGACTCGATCAATAGAAAATGAAAAACTATGTATAGTGAGAACAGCTGGGGAAATACAGGGAGTCTGGAAAGGCTGTGACACACCTAAGAGCAGGAAGAATTCTTCTGATTGTACCCTCATATACTTGCAGTAGACTGGCAGACAGGTAATATAAACAGACAGCCCAGGTAGGGTCAAACTTAATCACAGGGGAATATTTATGACATGACAAAAATTATTATCTTAATAGCCAATGGCAAAATTTAATTTTCACTTGAAAATCTGATCATACTATTCTCCTACCACTTTATGCATATGTGTATTAGTGCTCCTTACGTTTTATTTTGGCTTTGGTTTGTATGTCTGTATTTCCTACCAGGTTGTAAGATGCTGGACGACAGGGACTGCAGATTTGCAGCTTCAGTATGTCACCTGGTACATTGTAGGGACTCAACCAATGTTTCTTGAACGAAAATTTTTAGAATTAGATGGCTACTGAGTTCACTTCCATCGACAAGATTTTCCAATTCTGTAATTATAAATCCTAAGAACTCTTTTTTTTCTTTGGTTCAGACAATATTCCTTCTGTTCTTTCTCCCCAGACAGGCTTTGTTTACTTCAGTGCACATGGTCTAGTCATTAGCATTTGTTTAAATCTTCAAGTAACTAAATCCTCAGAGCAGGGCTGTTTAACACAGTTGAATGACAATTCAGAGGTTTATTTTTCTTCATCTCTACCTAATTTTGAATAGCAAGGGTTAAGTAAGTGTTACATGAGTTTGTACGCATTTTTGCTTGATTACTCATTTAAAAATGTAGCCCACACTCCTAGGAAATTTAGAAAATCGTTCAATAATACAAACTTTCTTTGTTTTCCTTCTAGATAACATGAAAGAGAATAATAAATTCAAATGGAATATAACTACTCTTTCCCATCGTGGTAATGATTTTAAGTTATAATTTTGATCTGCATTGCAAATACTAGACGATATAATTTAAAATGTAGTTGCCAGGCTTCTTAAAGATGTGCCAATACAAAATAAATTGTGTGGTTTAACAGTTCTAATATAACAAAATGTAACAAAATTACATTACATTACTTCCACTAATGACATATCAAAGCAACTGCTTTGTCCATTCATCATCAATTTATGGATGTGCTGAAGAATACTTTACAATTAGAACTAAATTCTAGATCTTGATTAAATTTCATGGACATTTTGATGACATAGATTAAATCATTTAGAACTAACTGTTTTTGTGTATGCGGGTGGTGGGGGGGGGGAGCATTCTCACATACCGTTGTTTTCCAGAATATGA